ACAAATTAAAGTTTTATCTAATTGGAATGTTTTAGCAAAATTTCAAATGTAGGGGATAAAAGAAATGATTCAAAAAATAATAATAATAAATACTATTATATAACATACTCACTCATTTATCCTCTTAACCAAACATATTATTCATCAATTTATTCGAACCAATCAAACACATTTTCTAAATATTCATAGTAATCTTCAAGGTGATCTTGCTTTCCGTTAATATAATATACACCATGATAAAACATTATATAATCTAAACACCCCCAAATAGTAAGAGAAAACGACATATTTCGTTAAACCTCATGTTGGGATATATCATTTACTCAAATTAATATTATTTAGTTATATTTATAACTTTTACAATTTAAATTTAAATTTTTTATGAAATATTTTAAAATCAGGGGATAATTTTGTCTAATTAATTTTTAAAAGATTCTATTTTATAATCATTATAAAAATTAAAATCAAATTAATTAATAATTTGCAAACTTTTTAACTTGAACAGAAACTTTAATTATGCCGTATCAAATTAGTTGATGTTCGAGATCTGGCGTATCATATTGTGACCGTTATCAGAAGCAATTCAAAAGCTGAAAAAATGGGGACTATACCCAAAATGCCCTCACATTTTTAGCGCTAAAAGTATGAATTCAAAATTCAACATTAATAAATAAGTAAAAGAAAATTCCCTCAACGGCTCTTTCAGAAGCCGCGTCTCACAGTAGTACATAAACAATCCTGCTGCTGACCCGCCATACTCTTATTTCCTAATTCGCTCCAATTACTAATAATAAAATTCAACGTCCTGAACCAGAAACAAACAACATTCAACATAAACGAGGAAAAAATAAAAAAATACTTCAAGTGATTGGAAACGGCTTAAAATAATATGGGAATGTTATTCAAATGAATTGATCGTAAATTGTACAATTGAATATTATAATCTACTTGAAACTCTTCTAATGTAAAGCCTTGCTCGCTAATCACATATGCACACCCAACTCAGTTGCAGAAATCCAATTGAAGCCGTTTTCACCAAGATGATATTGAGATTGAGATGGATGATAAACCATTAAAGTCGTTCCAGTTTCCGTCATCTGGTTTGGATAAGAAGAGAAGTAATCAGAGCTCAAGGACTGTTGCTCTTGATGAGAGAAAAAAACCATCATCAACAATTGTCTAGAAAGAGTATTGCACTTTGTTCTTCACCAACCAAGAAATCTCCCAGGTCAGCCAACTCACTATCATTAGTCACACCAGGAAAAATTGCTTCTACATGAGATGAATCTGCTGCAATGTCTTCAGTAAAATCATGAATATTCTGATGATCATTCGCAAGTGACGTAGCTTCACATTCTACCGTTTCTTGATAATTTTGAAACCTGAAGCACTTATTAGAGCTAAAATTCTCATCTATATGCTCAACTTCTTCAGAAGACTTCCCCTTTTTGGCCAAACCCCTTTTCTTAGCAGGCCGATCATTCTTTCGAATTCGACATAGCACATACTCATCATGATCCAATAATGAATACTCATGCATTATCCACTCTCCATCATGCTCGGACCTTTTGTTTTCATATCTATATCTTTTTTTTAACCCAATTCCTATATTAGTTCGAATTTCTTGGCCAGCATCTTCACCCATCCAAGAACCTGAACCAATTTTCCTTAAAAAACGTTTACGTTTGCTCTTACTAGACTTCATCTTCTTCAAGGCAGTGAAAAAGTAAAGATCCTCATCATCCTTGAACTGTCCTTTATAAAAATCCCATATCTCCCAAGGTTCTCGAGTACTATAAAGATCGCAATCCTTGACGATGCTACAGCAGGACAATGGTAAACCACCAAAAATCTTGTTGTGCAAGTAATAACCAATTAATTCATCATCACTTGGACAAAACTTTAAGCCGGGAAAAATCATGCTAAAGTTTTCTGGAATTTGCATGGCAGCCATAGAATCAGGATACGAAGGGAAGGATTGGATAGGCTGAATAGAAGTAGGGTGTTGAATCAGAGAAGAAGGTGGTGCATGAAATATACTGGGTGTTGGTTGAGGAAAAATAAAAGGAGGATTTTGTGGGTATTGAGTTTCTTGAGAAAAAGAAGAAGGGTTTTGCATCATGAATACAAAAGAAGGTGAGATTGAATGAGTGACAGTGGGAGTTCATATAAATAGATTGCAGAATGAGAAAAGGAGTAGAAGTTTGTGAAGTCGGTGACTGAAGTTTCCTGTTTTGATTCCTGTACTGTTTGGGTTTTGAGTTCTAATGAAATCCCAACTTTTAAATAAGTACCGTTAAAAATATTACTTTTTTTTTTTTATATTTATCATTATGGCCTCAATTGATAATCATAAAAGGGTAAATCTTGTACTCCCGTTATCCTCAAGTAAGACTTGAAAAAAAAAAAAAAAATTATATTATACTAAAAACTTATCCAATTAATAGATAATGTCCAAACTTGAAGAGAAACTTGCTTTGATGCACGAATTTAAAAAAAGAAAAATTGTAAAAGGGTAACTTTATAATTTATGAGGAGATATTTAAATATGGGATTAATCAGATAGTTAATTAGATTTATAGAATTTGAGTGAAGTCAAAAATAAAATTGATCCATGCTCTTTCTCCTATTCTTTCCTCTTGTTATATATTTTGTTTTCAAATCTCCCCTTTTATTTTATTTTATTTGTTCAAAGGGAAGTGATTTTTAGTCCCTGTCTAATTGATCAATATCCCATTGTTAAATACACATCTTTTATAATTAAAAAAGAAATCTATTTAAGTCCCATTTAATACCAAAAATAGCTCTCAAAGTTCAATTAAGTTTATTTTTTGCAATTTCAAACTTAATTTGGTTTCAAACTTATCTTTGTATTTTTTATTAGAAACAAAAATACAAAGATAATATGAGTGTATTTTAAAATTATAATATCATTTCTAGTATGTAATTTGAATTAAGGCTAAATATGTCAAATCAAAAAATACATTTAAAAGTCAATTAGTTAGAGACTAAGGGGCCGTTTGGATCGAGGATATATAAGATAACGAGGGAAATCTTCGTTTATTTTTGCAAGATTTTCGCGTTTAGTTTGCAATTAATAAAATATTACGATAATTTTTTATTGTAAATAGTGTTTATTGTTAGTAATGTAAAGGATAATCTTATTTTCTTGTTAGGGGATGTTATTAAAACATTACTGAGATAATATGATTTTTTTTACCCATTTTGCCTTTAATTAAAAACCATTTTAGGCACAGTTGCCCTCAAATGTTTACCAAATAACAATTATCTAGCCTCCATACATTTGAGAAATTAGCTAAAATACCCCAACCACAAAAAGTTTAAAAGTTAACAAAATACCCCCAGTTACCCAAGACTATCGTCGGCCGTCGGTATCAGTCATCGTATTGGTACACGATCGATGGGGATTTGGTCGATCATGCATTGGTAAGGCATTTTCTAGCTATAGATCACATATTCATGGCGTGAAACAACCACATCATTGGCCGTGAAATGATCATAGATTTGGCCATTTTTGGGCCATGGATTTGTGATCCATGGTCATTTTCGGTTTTGCTGGCATACGGTCGACCATATACGGCTAGTAGTGCGCCATTCTGTCAACTACCGACGACAGCCGACGGTGGTGGTGGCTGGCTACTGGCAGTGGCTTGGGGTGGGTGGTGGTGATTTTGCTATAAATTAAAGTTTTATATAGTTGAAGTGTTTTAACAAAAATTCAAATGTAGGGAGTAAAAGAAATGATTAAAAAATAATAATAAAAAATATTATTATATTAATATTTAAAAAGGAGGGCAATTTGATAATTTACATAACATACCTACCCATTTATCCTCCCAACCAAATATATTATTCACCAATTTATTTAAATAAACAAAACATATTTTCTAAACATTTCTAGTAATCTTCAAAGTGATCTTTTTTTTCGTTAATATAATATACATCTATAATAAAACATTATATAATCCAAACGCCCCCAAAAGTAAGAGAAAGCGACATATTTCGTTAAACTTCATGTTGGAATATATCGTTTACTCAAATCAATATTATTTAGTTATATTTATAACTTTTACAATTTAAATTTAAATTTTTATGAAATATTTTAAAATCAGGGGATGATTTTGTCTAATTAATTTTTAAAAGATTCTATTTTATAATCATTATAAAAATTAAAATCAAATTAATTAATATTTCGCAAACTTTTTAACTTGAATAGAAACTTTAATTTTGCCGTATCAAATTAGTTGATGTTCGAGATTTGGCGTATCATATTGTGACCGTTATCAGAAAGCAATTCAAAAGCTGAAAACGCGCCTTTTACAAGTTTTAACCGCCATTAAGAGTTGTATATATTTCCTTACTTCCTCCATTTCGTCATGAACGACTTATTAATTAAGCTCTGCGTCTTCGTGAAAGTGAGATCACTTGCTCTGAAATTGTGGGTTTCTCTTTTATTTCTCTTATTATTATCAAGTAAGTCTCTGTTTCCCCTTCTTTCTTCTTTAAATTTTATTGCACTTTCTCATTAATTTCAAGTTTATGTTATGTGCTCTTGTTTAATTTAATTGATCCTTTAGGGTTATTCTATTTTTATCTTAGTTTCTAGGGTTTTTTTCACTTTTTTGGGTGATCCTTAAAGGTTTCCTGACTTGGGTCATTCTAGGATTGTAATGGTGACCCCTATAATTAGGGCTTTCAAAATTCTATGTAATTTGTAAACCTAATCATTAATTAATTCTTTGGGTACTTGCTTACTGACAGAATTATGTGTCAAAGAAAGCAATTAATTATAATTAGGGCTTTCAAAATCCATTCCAATTTAGTGTTAATAACTTGCTCTGCTGTTTTTGTTGATGCTACTAGAGATTCCATAGTTCTTTTTTCCATTAATTTGGAATCTTATATGTATATAGTTTTGATTTTCAGGTGGGAAGTAGTTGCACCTCTAAATTGAATCTGTTGAAAAAGAAAACTCTACAATGGCTAGTTCTAGTTGTCTTCCTCCTGGTAATAAGTTTCGCCCGACTGATGTTGATCTGATTGCTCATTACTTACACAAGAAGGTTTTCGGTTTACCATTGTCCAGTGATATTGTCAAAGATTGCGATCTTTATGGCAGTCAAGAACCTTGGGAAATTTGGAAGTATTACAAAGGAGAGAAGGCAGAGGATCTTTACGTTTTCACTCCGCTGAAGAAAACATCCAGTAAGGGCAAAAGAATTTGCAGGAAAGTTGGTTCAGGTGCTTGGTATGGTGAAGATGCTGCCCAAGAAATTCAAGATAACAGGGTTATTGGGTATAAGAAAAGTTTTCGGTATGAAAACAAAGGGTCAGAACATGATGGAGTGTGGATTATGCATGAGTACACATTATTGGGCCAGGATCAGTTTGTTCTCTGTCGAATTCGAAGAAATTATCAACTGATTAGGAAAAGGCATTTGGGAAAAAAGAGGAAATGTCATGAAGTTGAGCATACTGATGAGAATCACCAGTCTAATAAGTGTTTTAAGGTCCGAAATTAACAAGGGACTGAATATGAAGCCATGCCACCTGTGAATGATCATGATTTTACTAAAGACGCTGAGGCGAATCTAACTCTTACAGAAGCTCTTTTTCCTGGTTTTAGTACCAAATAATGAGTTTGCAAACCTTGGTGATCTATTTCCTCTGGATGAACAAGAACAATCCTCATACTCAGAGAAATTGAATTTTCTGACAAGAACTGAAGATGAGTTTTGATTTCATGAAGATCAGGAGTTCTTCAGTTCAATGTGTCAATTACTATGATTAGGCAGTAATGAGTTATAGAGACTTAAGAGTACAAAGGGTTTCAAATAGATAATGATATTCAAATGGACAGTTAATGATCAATGCATTAAACATTTCTATAAATTTTGTTTCCTATCATTTCGAAATTACATGTAGTATTTTATTATTTCTATTGACTCTGATAATTGCTTTAATATTGGTATTCATGAATGTATCTTATAGACATAAACAAGCCTGTTAGCAAAAATTATATAAATTTAATTACCACTTTATTCAATACAGATTCATTTTTTGACGTAGACAATCTGCACAAAACTTGAGAATTCTCTACACGTTCAAAGTCCACAACCTGCTACATGTATTTGCTTGAAAGTAATCAATAAAACAGTATATTAAACAAGTGAAACGAGTGATACAGAACTGAGCTACTGCAAATTTCATTTAAAGAACCTTGAATGACTTTAGAAGAGATTTCTATAAACGTAACAATATTACTTTAGAACAATAACTATTTGGACAATTTTGACATAAGAATATATGAAGAAACATATGGGAACAACCTTAAAATATTTCATTATTCAGTTTTATAATAGGAATACAAAAGTTTAGTTTATAAAACCTTAGAATAAAAACAGATAACAAAGATCCTTGGAAACGTACACGTGAGGAAAACTCTTTATAACACTATCAATAACAGTAAAATCAATTTCAGAGAAAATGTTACATTCAATTTCTTTTTTTTCAGGATTTAAAACGTTAGGAATTTAAAGCGCATGGAACAGGAATCTGTACAAAATAACATGATCACACTTTTAAAACAATTCACTTTCATAACGTATTCATGATTACCAATACATTTGAATTCCTATGTAATGTCACTTATAATAAACGTTTCCTTTTAAAAAAAATAAGAAACAAAACATCATGCTTTAAACTCTTAAAACAATTTAACAATTCATAACTACCCCTCAGATGGGGCAATATGAACTTTTGGATATATTATTTAAGAGATCTTCACTTCTATTCCTCTTGATTTCTAATAGGAGTGGACATTGGAGGGTTTACCTGACTGTTAACTTTATGATTAATCATGGTGCACGCAAATTGGCTTGGACATCTCGATCATAAAAAAAAAAAACTCATAATTCATAGCTTTTGAATACATATGAAGATAAATGCATACTTACTTACAATTAAAATCAATTACATAGTAAGAATTCATTTTCGAAAATCATTCATTCATAAAACGTATGTGTGTATAAATACACATATTATAGATTATTATACTTACTTCAGTCCTACATACACTCAATTCCTACATGTCCCAAACTTTCACATTTTACGTTCTTTGAACACTAAACCTTACTGAAACAAGTGTTTTTATTTTCTTTTTCATATTAAATCAGTGACATTAAAACAGCCCAATACTCTAAAATATTTCATATACACCAATACCTTACTTCTAAACAAACCCATAGAATTGAAACACTTCAAACACAACCCCGATTCATTCAAATGATTGTAGGACCCACAACCATCTACCAATTGGCCCCTTGAAATTGTATAAATAATTTTATGTCTCTTTTTTTCACAATCCTTTCACAATAAACGCTTTAATAGTTTAATTCAAACTTCAAAAATAGAATATTCACCCAATCTGAAAATCAAAGAAATATTAAATCAAATTTCATAAGTTTGAAATTTCCAAGAGTGTTACACTCGGTGCTTCTGCGGTTTTATTTTTTGGGTTTATTTAATTCTCATGTTGGTGTAAATGGTGGTTTTGATTAATTGTTAGATTCTGAATTTTTTTTTTTTTTTTATTTGATAAGTTGTGGTGGGTGGTGTGAACTGTGAATAAGAAATTGTCATTTGTCATGGTTTTTTTTGTGCGTAGATGCGGTGATAGGTGAGGGTGTAAAAAATAAATTAATAAAAATATAATAATTAATTTTGTAGAAAAATAATTATTCTTTTATCTTTATATATAAAAAGTTTTAATTTAATATGAAAAGTCATATTTACCCTTTGTTTGTTAGTATTAGATTAACGTCTGTCAATTTTAAGGACGTTTTTGTTTGTAAAAAATAAATAAAAACCCTGGGGACTACAATGGATTAATTCAAATGTGAACTGATAAATTTCATTAATCGTCAATGCATCTTATTTCCGACGAGATTGAAACAATTCTTAAGTTGGACAAACAACCTGCAAAATCTACAAAGGGCAGTATTGAATATCTACTAACTCAACAACGAATACCTAAAATGCTAAAACTCCGTCAATTATAAATAATAATCTTCTCATACCCCACTTATCATTATCATTCAAAAAACCATTCAGAACAATAATAACAACATCCATAAGAGCAAACATAAACTTTATTCACTATGCAAACTCCCCAAACAGGAAGAATTCACATAAGGGAAAACAATGTTCACAAATTAAAGCATTAAGAGAAAAACTCAAGAAACAACATTATCATATTAATGCATCATTTAGAAAACTATATAAAAATACACACAAAAACTCATTGATTAAGACGGTGTTGAATTCCCCGCTTGAAAGATAGCGAACTTAGACTTCTCAGAATAATCATATTCGATCCCATTTTCATTCAGAAACTCCTTCAGAAGTCTTTTAACCTTCTCAGGATCCTCATTCTCACACTCCACCTCATATCTAGTTCCAAATTCATATCTAGTCTCATCAACCACCAATTTTAATCCTCTCCACTCATAAACTTCTCTCACATTCTCAAAACCCCCCAAACATACCCACCCAATTTTTCTATCCACCCCAAACTCCTCTATCACTCTTTTCACAACCCTCGATTTCAAATCAAATAACTTCATCGGGTTCTGAACGCAATCTTTTGCCATCATCGGGTCTACTTCTTCCCCATCTTCTTCCACGCGACTCACTCCGTTAATCAAAGTTGGCTTCGCTTTCAGAGAGATGAAACAACGAGTGTCTTTATCAATAAATTGGAGACGCAAAAAGGCGCGTTGAGAAGAGAGCGAGGAAGTTGGGGTATCGAAGAAGAGGTTATGTTGGTGTAAAGTTTTGATGTAAAATGGAGATAGAAGAGTTAGTAGTTGGTGGTGGTCTGTGGAATGTTTTAAGCGTAGTTTCACTTCTACTTCCATTAAAGATTGCATAACGTTAATATTTGAGGCTGATGCGTTGAGATTTGGTGGAGGGGTTTTGATGGAGGAGAGAGCGACGAGAGAGGGATTGTTAAAGCTCTTCTTTGCCTTTGATCTTCATTTCGATTTTGCTCGCTGTAATTTTCTTCTCTGAAAGGTTGCTTCTATAAGCAAACTTCAGGGAAAAAAAGAAAATGGATTAGAATAGAAGGTAAGTCGATGTCTTTTGCTACGTTGTATCTTCTCAGCATTTTCTGATAGTTTGCTTCTATGACTAAGAGCAACGCTTCCGGTTGTTAAGTTCTAATCTAACCCTTTGGACCCGATAATACGAGTCTAATAAAGAAAAGAAAATGGGAAAGCGGACCAGGAGCGCGGGAGCCAGAATTGAAAGTCAGAATGGACCAAAAGCTACGCTGATGTCTAAGGAACTTTATGGGATGTTTGGTTTGGACCATTTAGTGAGATTGTAAGGAATCCCCAATCCTTTTCAAAGGGTGGAATGGCATTCCTCCCAACCCATTCCAACTTATTTTAAATATTTTTTCCTTAAATTTATTTATCATTATTAATTTAAAATATTAAAAAATTTAGTTTATTGTTCTATCCTTCATCTTTGTGAACACAGCCACGTGACGCGACTACATTTTGGTCATCGCAACGTTGTTGAAAACCGTAGTTAAAAGTGCAAGATTAGAGGTCAGCAATTCGTAAGTCGTTGAAGACTAGAATCGTGATGTTAAGTGCAACAGCCATGTGCACGTTACAACAATGAACCCTTCTTTGGCGGTTGGCATTTGTCTAAATCGTCAATCGCTAGTTTTACATACATTGGTGGTGACGTTGGCATCGTTACCAATCGATATTGTTAACCAATGGTTGATCAATTTCGAAAAAAAATTTAAATTTTATTGTTTTTATTTAAATTGGTTTTATAGATATAATAATAATATATTAATTATATACATAACATTTAAAATTTATATTTAATTTAAAAAAATATATTTTATATCTTTTAATTAACTTTTAATAGATTTTATTACGTGATAAAATACATATATACAATCTCTAAAACTATAGAATATTTTTTAGGGCATTTTATTAAAAGGCCAAATCAAGTTCAAATCTAATTAAAAGACTATGTAGTTTGAAAGTGTTAAGTAAATAGCCTTATTATTTATTAAGGTTAATTAAACATTATTAGTGGTTAATTAAGATTAATGAAATATTGTGTAATGTTTTAAAAATTATAATATGTCTCCAAAGAGCCAAAATTCTTGCAAACAAATCCTAACACCTTCTTCTTCTTCCTCCCGCCATTAACGCATCCCTTCCATGGTTGTTTTTCTTTTAAGCTTCTTCTATATCTTCTTCCTGTACATCTTCTTCTTCCTTCGCCATTCTTCTTCGTCCGCCATTAACATCTTCTTTGCCACGGATCCGCCTCCTCCTCCTCCTAACATTTCGTCCAGGTATATGTATCTCCTCTTTGCATTTTATATTTCGATTTACAAAGATTTAATGATGGATCAGGTTTGGGTTTTGATTTTGATTTAGTTGTTTAGGTTATTGGGTTGTGTTTGAAGTAATGTAAGTTGAAATGA